GGCTGGTTTGGGCTCAGATTTGGGGATTTTGGGCTGGTTTGGACTCAGATTTTGGGATTTTGGGCTCAGATTTGGGGATTTTAGGCTGGTTTGGGCTCAGATGTGGGGATTTTGGGCTGGTTTGGGCTCAGATTTGGGGATTTTGGGCTCAGATTTGGGGATTTTGGGCTGCTTTTGCCACCCTGCTCCCCTTTCCTCAGGCAAGGACCTCCTTGTGCCGCTCACCAGCTCCGTATCCTTGTGCTCCTCCTGCTCCCCCAAACCCCTCTGGGGGGCTCCGAACCCCCCCAGACCCCCCTGAACCGGGCTCTGAACGCCCCCAAACCCCTGGGGGGGGTCGGGAGCCCCCCAAAACCCGCCCAGCCCCCCGTGGCCCCCCGTTTTCCATGACCCCCCCAGATGTACGTGCCGGGCAAGCTGCAGGACGTGCGCACGGTCCTGGTGGACGTCGGCACCGGCTACTACGTGGAGAAGGTGAGCAAGGGAAATTTGGGGGGATTTGGGGGGATTTGGGGGGCTGGGGACCCCCATTTCCACCCCTCCATCCCCTTTCCTCCCTCCTCCATTTGCCCACCCCCTTTCCAACCCCTCTTTCTCCACATTTTTCCCGTTTTCCCCATTTTCATCCCAATTTTCCCCATTTCCCACACCATTTTCCCCCCCATTTTTCCCCATTTTCCCCATTTTCATCCCAATTTTCCCATTTCCCCCCCCATTTTCCCCCTCTTTTTCCCCATTTTCCCCCAATTTTTCTTCAGTTTTCCCATTCCCCCCCATTTTTCTCTATTTTCCCCAATTCTCCCAAATTTCCCCCCAATTTTCGCATTTTCCCCCATTTTTCCCAATTTTCCCCATTTCCCCCAATTTTTTCCCTATTTTCCCCCATTTTCATTCCAATTTCCCCATTTTTCCCCAACTTTTCCCAAATTTTCCCAATCTTTCCCCGTTTTTCCCCAGTCTGCCGAGGACGCCCGGGCGTTTTTCAAGCGCAAAATCGAATTCCTGACGCGGCAGATGGAGAAAATCCAGCCGGCCCTGCAGGAGAAGCACGCCATGAAGCAGGGTGGGCACCCCAAAAATCCCCCCTGAGCCCCCAAAACCCCTCAGGGACCCCCCAAAACCTCTCAGGGACCCCCAAATCCTCTCTGAGCCCCCCAGAATCCTCCCTGACCCCCCAAAACCCCTCAGGGACCCCCCAAAACCCCCAGAGATCCCCCGCAAAATCCTCCCTGACCCCCCAAAACCCCTCCGTGGGGCTGACCCCGAGCCCCCCACCCTGTCAGACCCCCCAAAACCCCTCAGTGGGTCTGCCCCGAGCCCCCCACCCTGTCAGACCCCCCAAAACCCCTCAGGGACCCCCCAAAACCCCCCAAGAGCCCCCCAAAATCCTCCCTGAGCCCCCAAAACCCCTCAGGGACCCCCCAAATCCTCCCTGACCCCCCAAAACACCCCAGGAAACCCCCGGGGTCCCCCCCCTTTCCCCCTCCCCATTTTTGGGGTTCCCTCCTGACCCCATTTCCCCCCCACCCCCCAACCCCTCTTGGTTTTGGGGTCCCCCTGACCCTTCCCTGGTTTTGGGGTCCCTCCCGTTTTCGGGGTGCCCCGTTTTTGGGGTGTCCCTTTCCCCTCCCCGTTTTTGGGGTTTCCCTTTCCCCTCCCCGTTTTTGGGGTGTCCCTTTCCCCTCCCCGTTTTTGGGGTTTCCCTTTCCCCTCCCCGTTTTTGGGGTGTCCCTGACGCGCTCCCGGGGCTTCTCCTCACGTCCCCCTGACCCCTCCCCGTTTTTGGGGTGCCTGTTTTCGGGGTGCCCCGGTTTCGGGGTGCCCGATTTGGGGGTCCCCCCGTTTTTGGGGTGTCCCTGACGCTGCCCCCCCCAGCCGTGCTGGAGATGCTGGCGCAGAAGCTGCAGGCGCTGACGGCGGCTCCGGGAGCAGCCAAGGCCTAACCCCCCCCCAAAAAATCCTGACATTTCGGGGTGCAGCCCCCCCAAAACTGCGCTGGGGATTTGGGGGTGCGGCCCCCCAAAAAAATCCGGGATTTGGGGGTGCAGCCCCCCCAAAATCCCGATCCGCCCCCTCTGTTTTGTAGCAGCCCTGGAATAAAGGAGAAACGGCTCCGAGGGGTCTGGGGGTTCTTGGGGGGGCCTGGGGACCCCCAAAATATGGGAGGGACACCAAAATATGGGGGGACCCCAAATTTGGGGGGGATACCCCAAAATATTGGGGGGGGGCCTGGAGACCCCCCAACCTCCCCGCGGCAGCCGCGTCCTTCCGGCAGCGGCCACGAGGTGGCGACAGCGACACGGACGGGAGGGGACAGAGGGGACAGGGACAAAGATGGGGACAGGATTGGGGACAGGGACAGAGGGGACAGGGACAGGGACAGAGGGGACAGGGACGGGGACAGAGGGGACAGGGACAGGGACAAAGATGGGGACAGGGACGGGGACAGAGGGGACAGGGATGGGATTGGGGACAGGGACAGAGGGGACAGGGACAGGGACAAAGATGGGGACAGGGACGGGGACAGAGGGGACAGGGACAAAGATGGGGACAGGATTGGGGACAGGGACAAGGATGGGGACAGGATTGGGGACAGGGACAGAGGGGACAGGGACGGGGACAAAGAT